AAAATATTTAAATTACTCCTTGAGTTGAACAAATAAATGGTAGATTGCTTTTAGTTGCAATAAATGCATTTTGAATTATGCGTGTAAATTTGATGGGAATAACCTTAACAGTATTATGGAAGAAAAAGCCTGAGAAATATGTTGTTGCTTGTGGTAGGGAAAAAGGATTTTAAGTTGTATCTATAGAGGTATTGAATATAAGTCTAAAGAGTTTATAATGTTATTTTATATGCCAGTGGTTAAGTCATATTTGGAGTATTGTTTTCAATCTTGGGCTCCTTACCTTAGAAAGGACAACGATTTGTTGGCAAGGGTTCAGACGAAGGATACTAGGATGATATCTGAGGTGAAAAGGAAGATTCTATGAACTTGTTTTGTCTTGAAAAATGAATAGTTAGAGGGGGATCTTATTGAGGTGTTTAAAATTGTTAAGGGAACTGGTAGTATTGATAGCTCTTTATTTTCGTATTTAGTGGTAAGAATGATAACAGGATGGTTGGCCTTTGAGATGAGTTTCCTTTGAGTGTTATGGAGGCAGTAAATTTAAGTGAGCTAAATATAATGTTTGATGAATATTTGAATTATATGGGATGGCTTTGATTATTTTAATACTTTGTTTAATTTAGTGGATAGGACCCAAACTTGCTTATAAATAAAATACATTTTTTTTTCGTAAATGGTTTTAAAATACTAAGATATAGGGTCTTTAGTTATCCATTAAAAACTACAGTATTTTATTTTTTTTAATTTTATAGTTAACACAACTTATTAATGATGCGGTTGGTATTCTTTTGAACAAAATTCGAGAGAAGGCATCAAAGAGACAAAGATTTGACATCTATCAGTTTTACGAACAGATTACCTTAGATATTATAGGCAGAGCAGCCTTTGGGATCAAAACGAATTCTCAAACAGACACCAATGACTTCTTTCTCATAAATGTCCAACAGATGTTGAAAAGTAGTATTTCTAAAACAGCTTTTATAATCCAATGTAAGTATTGACTTAAAGCCTTCAAAAATATTGTTATTTTTGTATTTTGAACGATTTAACCTGTTTTTTTATAGCTAAGATGTATATATTTATACTCATATTAACAGTCATTTAATTTTTTCTGTATTTCCAACTGATTTTTAATCTCAGTTTTTACTTCTAAATGTTTTCATTAATTATAGTATTTTGGCACTTGTTTATAAAGTTAAAATCATAAATAATAGTTAACGTTAAACTGGTACACAATTAAAAACATTTTATTTAGG